ATCGGTATATTACAAGGTAAAAGTAAATAAAAGAAATAAACTATTAAGACCTATTTCAACAGTGTTTACACAATGGCTCCCTCCTGGGTTTCAACGTCAATATCAATGTTCTAAAAGTCACAAAAGGCTTTCCTTCTAGCTCTTGAACCTCTTAGGCAGATAATAATAATAATAATAATAATAATAATAATAACAATAATAATAATAATAATAATGATGATGATAATAATAAAAGCTGGAACCAATTACCTCACTTCGCCGTAGGTATATTTCTTCTACGCCGCGGGCCATTCCAAAATCTGTAATTTTACATCGGTGATTTTCTCCAACCAATACATTTCTGGCTGCTAGGTCTCTGTGAATAATCTATATTTTTGAAAAAAACGAAGAATCATTTATAACAGAAAAGCTGAAAAAAGTAATCATTCGTTGTTTATATAAGATAAACAGCACCTTTTTAGATGAGATGTATCGCATGCCATCCGATATCTGCCACGCAAACTTTAACATCTGCTCTGAAGTCAGGTTTGTCATCGGTTTTATATCGGGATCATCGTAGTAGCAGTCGCTCACTCCTCGACTCCTCCGAAGATATCCAAGCAGATCTCCGTGTGGAACATACTCGATAATCATATACGGATAGTCTAAAATACATGGAAAATTAGTACAAAGCAGTGGCGGATCCAGACCTTAAGCTAAGAGGGGGTCCCGGTTTTGTTTTACTTGCCCTGCCGGCTTTTCTTTCTTCTGTCATTTCTTCTTCTTTTACCCAAAATAAGGGGGAGGGGGTCCCGCGGGCCCCTCCCCTAGATCCGCCACTGCAAAGTTGTTAGTGAAGGACATTACCTGTGACAGATGATCATGTGACAGGGATGATGTTCTAATACCTCCTCAGCCACATATCCACGGGAGTATTTCTATTCAGTCCTATTTGCTCCAATCAGCTACTACTGTAGATGTTTTAGGTGATCGTTTAAGACAGTCACCTCTTCATTTCACACAACGCTCGTTATAGACGACTGCAAATCAATGAGGAAGTGTTGAGACACTGAAGTTATTGCCAACGAGTCACCCTTGCGAGGCGAGGCGGCAGCATTATAACGCCGAGGCGCGAGTTAATTCTGGTACAGGCAGAACAGGTTTATTCCTCCATTTGTTCGTTCTGGCACCGCATGATTCAAATGTAGCTGTTTGCGCGCAAGTCTGTTGACTGTTTTGCATGTTGTAAATGCCATTGGTCGACTTAGTTCCGGGCTTAGTTCAGGCAAGACCATGCTTTCGATCCTCCATGTGGATCTCATCAGTTGCCGGTATTTCTAAAATACTCTGAACGAATTTTCATTTGGC